CAAAGAATTACATTAAAGCAAAATTCTTTTGGTAAATCTTCTAATTCTTACAACCGCACTTCTAAACATTTTCATCTTTCTCAACTTGTTATGCTTTCGTTATATATGAACGAAGTAGCATAACCATTTGCTCGCTCCAAAACCTAGGTCTTCCCGTCATTGCCCCCTGGTAAACATTATCATCGTTTCGCGCTAACAAACATACTTTGTTTTTATAAAAACATCAATAAAGGGATTAAGCCTGACCATTTTGCAACAACAAAATACTGTGGTATCCCGAACAAACAAGCCAACGCTGTTCTGTTAATTACAATTCAAAATTGATTGCTAGAAAAAATTAAACGTTTGCGTTTTTTTTTTTTTTTTTTTTTTCAGTAAAAATCCTTAATACTTTTGTTTTTGTTGGGAGAAATATCAAAAAAAAAAAAATATTCCAGATCAATTTTTCATTTTAAATTTCCACAAAAAATAATGAATTATTTAAAATAAATCTCTCTTTTATTATATTCGATTTAACAAATATTTGTATTATTTATTGGTTTCGTAAAACGTATAATGTTTAGTTTTGTAGAAACTGTACATGTTGTAAAAATAGTTTGTGTGTTGATTGTTCTTCTATAAATTCGTACCTCATTTTTATTTGTCTTTTCCGAAGAATGTAAATTAGCTAAATAAATAAAACACTTAAGATGCATGTGTTTTCCATATGCTATGTTTATGGTCGGTAATAAATAATGTAATAAATGTCACGTTTGCGTTTTTTTTTTTTTTTCAGTAAAAATCCATAATACTTTTGTCTTTGTTGGGAGAAGTATCAAAAAAGAAATATTGCGCCTGAGTGAAAAAGCAGATAAGCTTTTACTATAATATACATTATTTTAACAATTTTAATAAACTTTACAATTCTCTGATCATTGTAGTCAACAAATGAGGGAAAAGTAACCCACTTCATCAGCTGTTTTATAATTTCGTCGGTATTGTGTTCTATACGGCGAATTTACGCGGCTCATTTTGTCGCCACGTAGGGCGAAATTCGTCGTTCGCTCCAATTGTGTTCCTAGCATAATGTGTACGTTAAAGCACACCGTGCATTATTAAATAAAATGCATGTGTTAATGTATTAGATGTAAGCTTTAGTGTTAAGAATATGTTGTAAATAAATTGAGTTCCCTTCCAGCCAAGGAACGAGAAACATAATTTCGCGGCGTTTTCTCTTTCGTTAGTTACATCGCTTGTGATGAGGTTAGGAGTCGACCTCATCATTTGGTGACCCCCACGTGATAGTATCGCGTGTAGTTAGTGAAGGAAGTGATTCGATAGGCTATATTTTCAGTGTCCGAGAAAATATTAGTTTATGCGAAATAAATAACGTGATAGGCGCGCATTTTCGTAGAAGTGAAGTGTGTTAGGCTTATTTGCTGTAGCGACGTAAAAGATGCACTGTTAAAGCAAAGATAGTATTAGATCTTTTAGTTGTGTAAAAGGAGACATGATAGGTAGCAGTGAAAGATTCTGTCGATCTATATCTATATAAAAACTAACGCAATAGACGAGTAGTTAAAAGTGATTAGTTTATTCGTTTATTTTTTGAGTGCACATATATTTAGCCAATATGAATTTTGTAGACTTAGACTATATTGTGTCACTTTATTTAGAAATGGAAATAATTGCTCTGTGTGGTGTAACTGAAGAAGCTAGGGAAAATGTACCGAATTAGGTCGTTCCTTTACAGAAGCAAGAAAGGAATATTTAGATAACGAGAGGGAACTTCGTCGTATGAAAAAAATTACATACTCGGATTGCATAGACGCCTTGGGCGTGTGCTATGCGACTAAAGATATCGGGAGAGTTCTAAACGGCATAGGTGTTTTTGTGCCCATAGAAATACCACGTTTAGATATCGATTATTTAGCTGAGGTGAACAGCTTAAGTTCATCGGAACAATGTGGGAAAAAGTTGTTCGGAAAGTAGTTCGAAATTGCGTTCACTGCTTTCATTACAAGCCAAAATTGATGGGGCAAATTATGGGTAATTTGCCTGTTGATCGTTTTCGAGCTCATCGTCCATTCCTATTCACTAGAGTTGATTTTTGTGGAAAGTCACCATAAAAAAATACATCGCTGTTTTTGTTTGCTTCAGTTCTAAAGCAACACATTTGGCACTTGTTTCGGATTTGTCAACAATCAACTTCATTATGCTAGGAACACAATTGGAGCGAACGACGAATTTTTTCGCGGCGTATGTTCGTCGTCAAAAATAAAAACCATATGTGTATATGGAAGTGCACACAATTACGGCGCCGGCGAAAATTTCGTCGGTCGCCGCGAAATCAATTAGCTTTATTTCTATTTCATACGCCGGCGAACGGCGACAAAACAGTACAAGGTGGCCATACTTGTACGAATTTTATGTGTTTTAGTAAATAAAGTTACTTTTTACTTAAAAATTTGTTATGGTCACTCTACTATCTGTTATTCGTATAAAAAAACATAAATAATTTGTTTATTTATTTGTGCACTTGCGCCTGAGTGAAGATGGATATCAGTGAATTTATAATAGAGAAGATGGACATAACTGAAATTATAAATTATAAATTATGAGTTCTTGTATAATTTTCATTGAAGTCAACAAATGAGCAAAAAGTAAACAACTTCATCAGCTGTTTTATAATTTCGTCGGTATTGTGTTCCATACGACGAATTTTCGCGGCTCATTTTGTCGCCGCGTAGGGCGAAATTCGTCGTTCGCTCCAATTGTGTTCCTAGCATTATGTGTCTCAAAAAGGTATAGTTTAATTACTTCGAAGTGTTGGGTCGTTCATTTCATTGTATTGTTTAATTTAATATTAATTTTATATATTCTTATTTTTGTCGACCCACACTACTGTTCCATAATTCCCAAATTTATTCGTCACAACCTAATGTGTGTATTGTTATCGTTGTTTCGTTTTCTGTTATATGCGTCTCAAATAGAGACAATAACAACAATGCCTACAGTCGTTTAGGCATTTGTCTTCTTCGTAGGCAGTGTGACCGCTGGAAATTTTCAAAAAGTATCACAAAAAGTATAATTTCTTGAAAAAAGTGGCACATATCATTTTAAATGGTGGCACAGAAAGTGGCACAATTTATTACACATTTTATTTAAAAAAATAACAGTTTAGAAAAAAACAACAAATTCATCTATATTTAATACTATATAGTAATAATATATGTATGTACATATTGCATATTTAACAAAAAAGCTGTAAGTTCGGCCAAGCCGAACTTTGAATACCCTCCACCATATGGTAAAAATTTGGCAATTTTCATAAAATTAAAATCCATTAAAAATTGTGTTAAAATCTTAAAAATACCGAATGTAGCCGTATATTAGGGTCTATACGACGACGTGGAACTGCATACGCAACTTTTGTCATAAGCCTGCGCACGCAATTTTCTGGCATAGGATGTAGTATCCCTTACGAACTTCAAATACAAAATTTGAAACTATTCCGGTGAATAATGTCGCTAAAATCATCAAAATACCGAAAATCGGGGGTACCGTTATATGGGGGCTATACGAATACGTGGACCTGTCATGTAGTATTTATTTAAAACTTAAAGGACCAAATTTGAAAGAATTCCGGTTAATAAAGTCGCTAAAATCATCAAAATACCGAACTTCAGGAGGTTCCGTAATATGGGGGCTATACGAAGACGTCGACCTGCACAGACAATTTTCTGTCTTAGGCTGTAGTATCCATTACGAACTTCAAATACCATATTTGAAACTATTGCGGTGAATAATCATCATCAAAATACCTAATATCGGGAGGTACCGTTATATGGGGGCTATTCCAAAACGTGGACCTAAAATCCTAAAAAATTCAGTCTTTTGTTATTTATATCAATTCTCGACAATATTTGATCACATGCATATTGATAATATTTAAGTAAATTGCCTTTAATTAGTGAAACATTTTCTTCTGTTATATTTTCAGAAGAAATTAATGTTTGCGCCTCATAATCTATATATATTTGGGTTACATCCATGATGTGAAAACAATTTTTATAATCAATGGTCCAAATTTCAAGACGATTTATGAATTCCTTTTTTACAAAGTTTCTGAAAAGTTGAAGTAAAATGTCTTTTGTCATAGAACAAAGGTATATTATATGTGAAGAAGACTCGCTTTGAAAAGAGGTGTTTAGAGTGTTCATTATTTTAAGAACATAAACTAAAAAAATTTAATATATCTTTTTTACTATTGATGACTCATTTAGAATGAATATATATATTTTTTCAATTGCTTTCCACATTTTGTCTCAAATTGTTCTCTTATAAAATAGTGTTGCAGTACCCGTCTGGAAACAGATTCGAAAGAATCTGATTGCCTCCTTGCACTTTTGAAGTAATTTAAAATGTCTCTTAACAGCTTTTCTACGTTCTTTCACAATAACAATAGAGTCTTCAAGAAATAAACACAACAATGTTGACAACTTTGAGCATGCGAAAACCACTTAAAACACCTAATATAAAAGCGTTCGCTCTGAAATTTGCTATCGCTAATTGGAAATGGCAGCGTACGACGCTTTTCATTATTTCATTTCATTTCATTGTTTTAAATACAGAGTTTAGATTAAAATATATGTAGTTCAAAGAAAGGTGGCACAATGTATAAAAAAGTGGCACAAAAATTCAAAAAAGTGGCTCATTTAGGATCAAAATAAAAAAGTGGCACAAAGGTATCATAGCCCAAAAAAAGTGGCAAAATTGATACTTTAGTGGCACAACGGTCACGCTGTTCGTAGGTTTTGAGTTGTGGATAACAACAACAACACTGTTGTTTGTCAGTTTTGTATGTATGTATAGTAACATACATATTTATAACTGTGGCCCTTTGTTTTGTTTACATTTTGTTTTGTGCGAATTTCGTATTTCACGATTAATCGTCGTTTGGTTTGAAGTTTCAGATTTTGTTTTGTCCCCCCTTTTTTTGTAGCCCTTAAGAAGGGATTGGAAAATAGATAAGTTTAGTTGACATATGACCGGCAAACATATTGAAGCAAAATAAACTTGTAATTAAATTCGAAACCTATAGTGCGTTATATTTACTAATTCGGGCGCAAAAATAAATAAAACCTTCTGTCATACAACCTTGATTCCGGAAAACTACTTTTTCTTGGAAGACGATCCCGGGACTCCCGATTTTGGACCCGAAAGTCCGTGTTCAAGGCCCGGACCCGGTTATGAAAATACCTATCCAACAAGTGGTCACGGTTTGGAAGTTATAGTCAAATTATCGATTTTTTTGACCCGGATTTTTTATAAAAACTAGAAAAGACGAAAAAGGTCCCATTATAGGGGTCAACAGAGTTGATATAGCTGACACTCTTTCCTTTCCAAAATCCTACAATTTGTGCTAATACTTTTTTCGGGTCCAGAGATACATATTCTCTTCTGGTTAAAAATTTAACAGTTGTTGTAAGTAGCCGGCCTTCGTCCGGGGCTCGAGATTTTCTTCTCTGGGTATGTACCACACCGGCTAACGCGAACCAAAGTTTTCCAAATTTGATACTTTTTGTAAGCCGCCGGCCTTCGGCCGGGGCTTGAGGTTTTCTCCTCAGGGTATGTCCTACAAAAAATCGTGGTCCCAGGTCCGTCCCCCAAGAAAAAATAGTTTCCCGGAATCAGGGTAAAAATACTTACCTCTGGAAAAAATCGAAGAGTTTTTACTAAACTAGAGTTGCTCCAAAGTATCAGATTAAGGGAAGATTTGGTTTGCGCAGCCGGTGAAATAAAAGTTTGCCCAAGTACCCGAAACCTTTTTGGGGTTTTGATCCACAAACCCGGTACCATAAAATTCCCTTGGAGTTTTCTACAGCCTACTGGGTGTTGAATGTTTGCAGCAAATTCAGATAAAGTGCTGACTTTGTGTAAATTAAAAATGGAAAATTGATCTGAAATATTTCTTTTATTGATACTTTTCCCAACAAAGACAAAAGTATTAAGGAAGATTTTTACTGAAAAAAAAAAAACAATAAACGCAAACACATAATTTTCCTTTGCAATGAATTTTGAATTGTAATTAACTATATCACTTTTAAGCCTATGTAAATAGCTTACTATGATTTTTGAATAGAAAAAAACATTTTTGCCTAAAAGTAAATGTTATGCTTCTTTCATGAAGCAAATCAAAAAAGTTGGTACAATTTTATTAATAAAGTGCGAAATATTTTCAAGATTTTGAGCAACCTTGATAAAAGTTTCTTTGAAGATCTTTTTTATTTGATTACTTATAGTGAAATCCGATGAAGGATATCATAATCGTAGACGTCGTGCTTCTAAAATGATGCTTTGTAGGAGAATTTTGCGAAAATCACATGAAGTACTGCGAGTCGAAGTTGTCAAAATACAGAGTATAGTATTTATAAGTACGTCGAAAAGTTACAAATGGAATGACAACGTTAATACAACAACCAATTTTATTATTTGATGTTTTACATTATTAGGTGTTGCATCAGATGTTGCAGATCAGATAATTAACTGTACTTTTTCAGGCTCTCTCAGAGCACGCAACGAAGACGGGGAAAAATTTGGCATTCTCCATTCTACAAAAAGGACGCATATTTTTATTTACGAATTCTATTAGTTGACGCATTTTAGAGAGATTTTTTTCGTTGTCTATAATAAGAAAATAGAATGAAATAAAATCCTATTTCCATTTTTTACTTAAATTTATTATTTAATTTTAATACCTCCCCATGAAGTAAGCAACCATTAAAATAAAAAGATCGTTATCAAGAATTTATATTTCATTTAATATATAAAAATATCATATTTTTTATAATTAAAAACATTTCATTTAAGAAATACATAATCGTCTAACGACAATGTCAAATGAGAAACCAAAATTTATTTTTGTTATTCTATTAAAATTGTTGTATGAAAAAAACAAGAAGATTGTACAAAAATAGTATGAACAGTAGTATTTATGTATAAAGTTTTATGATTAATATAAAACATTTAACATATTTATAAATATGGAACATTTGAGAAGAGATAAGAAACACTTTCGCCGTTATGTGTTCTTCTAACGGCTTCGGCAAACATCATAGAGACATCAATGCACTGTATTTTGCGACAATCTCTCATATGGCCATCCTGGGGAATAGTATTTGTAACAACCACAGCCTCAAAGCAGGCATTGTTTATGCGAGAAATCGCTGGTCCAGAAAAGATACCATGTGTCAAAATAGCATAAACCTTTGTAGCACCTGCTTCCACCAAACGATCGGCAGCATGAACAATTGTACCGCATGTATCGGCCATATCATCGACCAATACAGCAATTTTATCTTTGACATCACCGACAAGCACCATCGAAGCAACTTCATTGGCCTTCTTGCGTTCTTTGTGAATCAGTGCGAATTCAACGTTCAAACGATCAGCGATGGACGTCACACGTTTAGCCCCACCAGCATCAGGTGAGACAATAATGGAATTCTTCCATTCTGTAATATTTTCTTTGATCCATTTTAGAACGGCTGGTTCAGCAAAAATATTGTCCACGGGAATATCAAAGAAACCTTGAATTTGAGATGCATGCAAGTCCATAGTAATAATGTGATCTGCTCCGGCCACTGATAGCATATTTGCAACCAATTTCGCGGAAATTGGGGCGCGACTCATATCTTTTTTATCTTGGCGAGCATATGGGAAACAAGGAATCACAGCTGTTACACGGGATGCTGATGCGATCTTGCAGGCATTGATCATGATCAGTAATTCCATCAAGTTGTCATTAATCTCACCGGAACCAGATTGTACAATGTACACATCTTCACCGCGCACAGACTCACCAATTTCGACACATGTTTCCAAGTTGCTGAATTTATTGGTGACCACTTTGCCCAAATCGATACCCAAACGGTCGACCATCCTTTGAGCCAGATGTGGATGCGAAGTACCCGAAAACACTTTAATGGTTGCCATTCTTGTTTCTCCAATTTGCAGATTTTGTGCGTAGCTAAGTGTCAGATTGAACTGAGAAATGTGAGGTCTTTTATTGGTATTTCGAGGAACTACAAACGGAATGACATGGTTATAGCATGATGGAGGGTATTCGAAATAATATTGGTAGTTATATGAATTTAATGCGTTGTTTAACTTTCCACCACCCTTTTTTATATTATAGGTTTCAAATCTATAAAGAAACATGAGCACGAAAACTGTGTGGTGAAAAACAACAGCGCATCTTTTGATTAACCAATTTCAAGGAGTGGTGAGTTAAAAAATGCATTTTATTCATATTACTAACAATATGACTTCGAATATCCTACATCATGCTATAACCTTTGTCATTCCGTTTGTAGACCCTCGAAATACCTATGCAATAAGGCCAAAATTACAATAAAAAATTACTGTGAAACTCACGCAAATTTACCTTTACAAGACTTTATATTTCAGTTGCTTTTTGAAAATAGCTCCAATATGAGCAATTAAAAACGATAGTACAATCTTTGAAACTTTAGTAACTGGTAATCACTTGGGCTGAGAATATGTTACACTCTAAACAAAATCGTTGTTATGCCTTATACGTTTACGAAATCAATTAATAAGATAAATTTTTGTTAAATTGAATATAATAAAAGATATCCCGAACAAACAAGCCAACACTGTTTTGTTAATTACAATTCAAAATTGATTGCCAGAAAATATTATGTGTTTGCGTTTTTTGTTTCAGTAAAAATCCTTAATACTTTTGTCTTTGTTGGGAGAAGTATCAAAAAGAAATATTCCAGATCAATTTTTCATTTTAAATTTCCACAAAAAATAATGAATTATTTAAAATAAATCTCTCTTTCATTATATTCGATTTAACAAATATTTGTCTTATTTATTGGTTTCGTAAAACGTATAATGTTTAGTTTTGTAGAAACTGTACGTGTTGTAAAAATAGTTTGTGTGTTGATTGTTCTTCTATAAATTCGTACCTCATTTTTATTTGTCTTTTCCGAAGAATGTAAATTAGCTAAATAAATAAAGCACTTAAGATGCATGTGTTTTCCATATGCTATGTTTATGGTCGGTAATAAATAATGTAATAAATGTCACGTTTGCGTTTTTTTTTTTTTTTTTCAGTAAAAATCCATAATACTTTTGTCTTTGTTGGGAGAAGTATCAAAAAAGAAATATTGCGCCTGAGTGAAAAAGCAGATAAGCTTTTACTATAATATACATTATTTTAACAATTTTAATAAACTTTACAATTCTCTGATCATTGTAGTCAACAAATGAGCATAAAGTAACTCACTTCATCAGCTGTTTTATAATTTCGTCGGTATTGTGTTCTATACGGCGAATTTACGCGGCTCATTTTGTCGCCACGTAGGGCGAAATTCGTCGTTCGCTCCAATTGTGTTCCTAGCATAATGTGTACGTTAAAGCACACCGTGCATTATTAAATAAAATGAATGTGTTAATGTATTAGATGTAAGCTTTAGTGTTAAGAATATGTTGTAAATAAATTGAGTTCCCTTCCAGCCAAGGAACGAGAAACATAATTTCGCGGCGTTTTCTCTTTCGTTAGTTACATCGCTTGTGATGAGGTTAGGAGTCGACCTCATCATTTGGTGACCCCGACGTGATAGTATCGCGTGTAGTTAGTGAAGGAAGTGATTCGATAGGCTATATTTTCAGTGTCCGAGAAAATATTAGTTTATGCGAAATAAATAACGTGATAGGCGCGCATTTTCGTAGAAGTGAAGTGTGTTAGGCTTATTTGCTGTAGCGACGTAAAAGATGCACTGTTAAAGCAAAGATAGTATTAGATCTTTTAGTTGTGTAAAAGGAGACATGATAGGTAGCAGCGAAAGATTCTGTCGATCTATATCTATATAAATACTAACGCAATAGACGAGTAGTTAAAAGTGATTAGTTTATTCGTTTATTTTTTGAGTGCACATATATTTAGCCAATATGAATTTTGTAGACTTAGACTATATTGTGTCACTTTATTTAGAAATGGAAATAATTGCTCTGTGTGGTGTAACTGAAGAAGCTAGGGAAAATGTACCGAATTAGGTCGTTCCTTTACAGAAGCAAGAAAGGAATATTTAGATAACGAGAGGGAACTTCGTCGTATGAAAAAAATTACATACTCGGATTGCATAGACGCCTTGGGCGTGTGCTATGCGACTAAAGATATCGGGAGAGTTCTAAACGGCATAGGTGTTTTTGTGCCCATAGAAATACCACGTTTAGATATCGATTATTTAGCTGAGGTGAACAGCTTAAGTTCATCGGAACAATGTGGGAAAAAGTTGTTCGGAAAGTAGTTCGAAATTGCGTTCACTGCTTTCATTACAAGCCAAAATTGTTGGGGCAAATTATGGGTAATTTGCCTCTTGATCGTTTTCGAGCTCATCGTCCATTCCTATTCACTAGAGTTGATTTTTGTGGAAAGTCACCATAAAAAAATTCATCGCTGTTTTTGTTTGCTTCAGTTCTAAAGCAACACATTTGGCACTTGTTTCGGATTTGTCAACAATCAACTTCATTATGTGTCTCAAAAAGGTATAGTTTAATTACTTCGAAGTGTTGGGTCGTTCATTTCATTGTATTGTTTAATTTAATATTAATTTTATATATTCTTATTTTTGTCGACCCACACTACTGTTCCATAATTCCCAAATTTATTCGTCACAACCTAATGTGTGTATTGTTATCGTTGTTTCGTTTTCTGTTATATGCGTCTCAAATAGAGACAATAACAACAATGCCTACAGTCGTTTAGGCATTTGTCTTCTTCGTAGGTTTTGAGTTGTGGATAACAACAACAACACTGTTGTTTGTCAGTTTTGTATGTATGTATAGTAACATACATATTTATAACTGTGGCCCTTTGTTTGTTTACATTTTGTTTTGTGCGAATTTCGTATTTCACGATTAATCGTCGTTTGTTTTGAAGTTTCAGATTTTGTTTTGTCCCCCCTTTTTTTGTAGCCCTTAAGAAGGGATTGGAAAATAGATAAGTTTAGTTGACATATGACCGGCAAACATATTGAAGCAAAATAAACTTGTAATTAAATTCGAAACCTATAGTGCGTTATATTTACTAATTCGGGCGCAAAAATAAATAAAACCTTCTGTCATACAACCTTGATTCCGGAAAACTACTTTTTCTTGGAAGACGATCCCGGGACTCCCGATTTTGGACCCGAAAGTCCGTGTTCAAGACCCGGACCCGGTTAAGAAAATACCTATCCAACAAGTGGTCACGGTTTGGAAGTTATAGTCAAATTATCGATTTTTTTGACCCGGATTTTTTATAAAAACTCGAAAAGTCGAAAAAGGTCCCATTATAGGGGTCAACAGAGTTGATATAGCTGACACTCTTACCTTTCCAAAATCCTACAATTTGTGCTAATACCTTTTTCGGGTCCAGAGATATGGGTCTTTCCATTCGCCATAACTCAATTCCAAAATGCTACAATTTGTGCTAATACATTTTTCGGGTCCAGAGATACATATTCTCTTCTGGTAATAATTTTCCTTTGCAATGAATTTTGAATTGTAATTAACTATATCACTTTTAAGCCTATGTAAATAGCTTACTATGATTTTTGAATAGAAAAAAACATTTTTTGCCTAAAAGTAAATGTTATGCTTCTTTCATGAAGCAAATCAAAAAAGTCGGTACAATTTTATTAATAAAAGTGCGAAATATTTTCAA